ATTAAGTATTTAATAAAATAATAATTTTGTCACTAAAACATATATATATATATGATTTTTTATTATTAATATTATTTGAAACTCACACTACTACTTTGTTTATGCTAACAGAGAATTCAAACCCTTCTTGCCTCGGTTTAAAACAATTTATTCATTTCTTGTCACCTTAGAGTGAAAATGACAAAAGTAGACACATGAAACAAACAAATCTAAAAATTAGCCTTTGTCAGACAAACTTCATACATGATTTAAAAGGAAAAAGTTAAAGTTAAAATCCCAGGTTGATCACTATAATCTCGTCTTTGGTAGAAGTGGAATCGATCACGCGCTCCAAGTGCGAGTGGTGGTGTGAGTACTTCAATTCTGGAAAACGTTAAATAATGAGACAAATTTCAGCAGAACGTAATAATTCCGCCGACTTGGAGGTGAGGCGATAAAAGTCGAGCATGTTGGGTGGTCGGAGGCCAAAAGAGAGTCACGAGCCTCCACGCGCCAAAAACTACGAGGGCCCATTGCTTTTCCTTGGGGCCCACATAAAAAAACTATAGTAGGGCGGCTTTAACGTTTGACACGTGTCGGTCAGGTCTATCTTAGGGAATAGGGGTCTAAGTTGCAGTTTGCGTTTCACAGTATCCAACCAGACCAGCCGACCAAAGTTCACGTTCGAGGTTAACCTTTGTGTCCGGTTATTCTTTAACAGATGCTCAATCACTCACCGGGTTAATCAATAGACCACCAATCAATTTTAAAGCCACATTGACAATATTGTCCTTTAAGTTTTTGGTTCACATTGTATTATTTTAGGCCTTATTTGATTACTCAAAAATAAAATAGAATGGAATGAAAACACAATTCTATTTCATTTCAACTACTTTCTTTTCTTATTTAAAATGATATTTAAAATAAAAATGACAATTCTAAAAATTTATTTTAAGGAATGAATTTCGTAGCCATCACTCCCACCTTTTATAATATCCATCTTTTGCCACCACCACCACCACCACCACCACCTTCCTTCTATGTCGCCGCCTCCATCGCTCCCGTCGTCACAACCACCTTCTTCTACCGCCGCCGTCTTCTATCACCACCACTGCCTTCCTCCGTCACATTTTACAATTGTGATTATTAATTCATTTCATAATTGTAACCCAACAACATAATAAGAATAAGATTGACCATTCCATTCCATTCCCAACTTCACTCCATTCTATTCAATTTTATTATACCAAACTAGGCCTATATGTATACATATGTGTGTGTCTATATATATATATTCTTAAAACTTTAAGTAAATGCACTCATTCATTATATATTTTTCTAATATTCAACGTTTTTCAAAAAAGAAAAAGAGCTTAATATCTGAGGTTAAAGACCATTAATAATTCCACTATATTTTAATTGCCCAAATTCACATAGTGAAATTGTTTTGAACATATGTCCCTTAGTCTTAGAAAAGCTTTGCTCACGTAATTATGTATGATTGTGATATTCAATTATTCATTATTATATTCATTATCTAGCTCTCTTGTCTACACTTAATTTGATTTTCTTTTTAAATGACATGACAAAATTACTTCTTAAAATTGAATTATAATTGTATTTTATTTAATTATACTTTTCAAAAATAAATTATAAGAGTATTTTTAATTAAATTTAAAAATGTATGTATGACCTTAAAGATAATGAAAGTTGTATATTAAACGAATTAATAGTACATAAGGATATGTATTTATTAACATTATATATATATATATATATATATATGTAAGTGAGAGTTAGTTCTATACAAATAAGCTATGCTAGATAATTGAATTGGTGGATGCTATACATGTATAACCTAACATGTTCTTACAGATAATTATGTCTTTTTTTTCTAAAAAAATGTAAGAAGAATGATAGCCGCATATGATTCGAGCATTGAGATCATTAGACATTGTTTATGTAAATTGATGACGATTATATTATTTTTTGTCTCACAAAAAAATGTCACTTTTTGAGAATTTAATTTTTTAAATGTGTAATTTTAAATTTTATTATATTATAGTGACTGGAAATGAATTTTCAAATATACTTTAATTGTTTTTATAATTTCAAGTTAAAAGGGTAAATTAGAAATTAAAAGAAAAAATAGTTCACTAAAATTTGAATTTGGACAATTATATTTTAAAATAATAAAAATAAAAGGATAATTTATTTATTTATTTTGTGTGAGAGAGAGTGAGTATGTATTGATTCGATAAATTATTTTGGGAATATTTTCTCTTGTTTCCAATTTGGGAAACTTATCACCGACGTATTGATTTGACAAATCTTTGAATTGTAAGCTGCCTAACAAAACATGGAAAATTTTCTCACGTACAGACACATGAATTAATTTCACAATTTTCACTGCTACAGTCTACAGTACTGTATTCTGTAGTAACTTATATATATATTATTATAAATATATAAAAATAATTTTAACACCAAATAATTACAATGAATTACTTAGACAGACTTATTTTTAAATTACGGGAGTTGAGTATCACTACTAACGCAAACATTACCTTTCTTGAAAAATTAATTTAACAATTAACAAAACAATTAGCTTTTTTTGACACCGTTATGGGTGAGTTTTTGACTTGGGGAAAAACCAAGAAGACCTTCTAATTTGACTTAAAAACAGGTTTAAATATTCTGAAATGTCAACTTGCCAAAATTATTAATATTATTTTTAACTTGACAATATGGTTAGTACATACTTTGGAGTGATCAAGGGCAATATAGTCATTATATACTTTTGCCGGCCTGTTACCAAGCTAAGACCTTGTTTGGGAGCTTACTAGAGACTTAAAAAGTCCTTCCAAGTTTAAAAAGTCCATTTGAAAAAATTAATCACGTTAGTTACACATTTTCTTTGAAAAGCTCGTGGCGGGAAACAAAAAGTAAGAAAATATTACTTTTAAAACCTCCTTTTAAGAAGCCAATTTTTGTAAAGGATAAATTTATTATTTTATTAATTTGTCCATATATTTTTCATAGATTAATAAGATTGTCTTATATTATTTCTTAGTCTTTCGTTACACCACCACCTTCCGCCACCACCACTGTGACCATCCATCCCCACACCCACTATTGCCATCGCCACCACCACCACCCTCCACCACCACCTTTCAGTACTACTACCTTCTGCCACCGCTACCATGACTTTTCACCACCACCACCATTGCCACTAACACCTTCCACCACCACCACTAATATTGCTACTTCCATCTTCCACCATTACCCTCCGCCACCACCGACATCAACCACCACCACCACCATTGCCATTGCTATTGCCACCGCCACCATTGCCACTGCCACCTTCCACCATAACCATAATCACCCTCCACCACCACCACCACCACCACCACCTTTTACTACCACCTTCTGCTGCCAACACGACACCTTCCAACACTGCCACCATGACCTTCCACCACCATTGCCACCACCACCGCCATCGCCACCATCACCTTCTACCACTACCACTTTCTATCACATCCGCCACTGCCACCTTCCACCACCGTGACCTTTTATAACCACCACCACCTTCCACCACTACCGTCGCCGCCGCTCTCAATTGTGACCTTTTTATCACTGTTACCACCACTGACATCGTCACATTCCACTGCCACCATCCTCAACCACCACCTTCCACTACCACCACAATTGCAATTGCCTTTTGCTACCACCACCACCAACATTGCCATCGCCTTCCATCACTGCCGCCTTCGCCCTTTTAATAAAGGCTTACAATAAATTGTCATTTATAAAGGATATTATTGTCAGAAAAAATAATCTAAAAGGTAAAGTAAATTTGAAAAATGTACTCGCTAAACGTCTTTTTCTTATGAATTCCTTCCAACAAAATTTCTTTCATGAAGGTCTCGTCAATGAAGGACTTTTATTATGTAAAAGTTCCCCCAAACGAGACCTTAGTCCTTAGCATGTAAACTATATGGCCACCAGACGATTATTTTTGGACTTGTTTAACAAATGCTACTAATAAGAAAAATAAAAGGTTAAATTATATTCATATCCTCTTAAGCTTTGGACAAATTATATACAGGTAATTTTCAATATTTATTATTTTGACATTTATTAAACTCGTTAGTTTGAATGTAAAATGTTAAAGTCATTTTATATTATAATATAAAATTTAATATATTATAATAATATTTTATATAAGGGAATAATAAAATTATTATTTTAAAATTTGGTTAATAAATATGTCCTAAAGAAAATACTAGCCCTATTCATAATGACACATTTCAAAATTCAAGAGGGGTCAAATAATAAACGCTAAACAGTTTGCTGGTGTATAAACAACAGGTGGCCATTTTAATTTATCAAAGATTAAAATAATATTATCAAGGAATTGTTGTGTTAATCGGAAGGCTGTAATAGGAAGGTGTTGGGTAATGAGATGATTATACCCACTTCTTATCCTTCCCCAATGTATGGACTGTGGACGGCAAGAGAGAGAAAGAAGAGAGAGAAAGAGACAGACAAGATCATGGGATCTGCATGTTTTTATTGCACAAGCCCTGCAAATATGGATCATGCAAATCCTATTCTATATTGGTTTTCTCTCTCTAATATAACATTTATCACCCCCTCAACCCCCATTTCTTTACACCCTTAAATTAGGCAACTTGGTTAAGCCTCAAGTCCCTCGTTAGCTTGAGGACTTTCCTAGTCATACAAGTTACCCACAAGATTACACTTTCTCTCTCTAAAACAAACAAACACCCAGTACTGTGTTTCTCTCTCTAAAACAAGAATAAAGGGGGATGTTTGGGTTAGTGTGCTATTAAGGGTAGGTTGTCGTAAGACTAGTAACCTCATAGAATCAGAGGAAAGAAAGAACAGTATCTTTTCTCTAACTTTGCTTGCTGTGCCAAACAACATGGGTTTTGGTTGCGTGAAGGGAATCTCTCTCTGGTTCTATACTCTTTAATTTCTCTGCCTATGCTATGCTAAAGGCCTAATTACAAAAGGGGAGCAAGAGAGAGAAAGAGGAGAGAGAAACGGGAATAATCCCACTCACTGCTAGTAAAAGAAATCAGAAAAAAAAAAAATCTATTATAGCTTTCTCTTTCATTGTCTTTGTGCTTTCTCTATCACTTGGTCTGTCTGTTATTAGTGTTTTTTGGTTTTTAATCCTTTGGTGGGTTGAGACTTTTGAAGTGTTGTTGGTGTCTTTTGAAACTAGCTAGCTCTGTATATTTTCTTCTTGGTGGTGCTTTTGAGGGTTTCTATCAATTCCTTTTTTTTAATATATATATATATATATATATATATATATATATATCTGAGTAGTTTTTGATTTTGGGGCTACAGCAGCTTGTTCTGTTTTTTTTTTTTTTGATGATTCGAAGATGTGGGTGTTCAAATTTTCTTGATTTGCTTGTTTTGTTTTGGTTTTAAGTTGAAGATTTGGGTTTTTTTTTTTAAATATTTGTGGTGTGTATAATCTCTACAACTCCAGGATATTTTTGTCATTTCCAGTGAGGTTTTCTTCTACCTTCTTCCTCATTTCTGGTGTCAAATCTGAATAGTGAAGCTGATTTTCCATTGTTGGTATTTTAAAAAAAAAAATGGAGGGTTATTCAAGGAAGGTTGAGAGCAGTCCTCAGTTGCTAGATTTGATGATACCTAAAGACAGAGAGTGGCTAGTGCAAAGAGATGATGAACAGAGAAAAAACAGGCATGGATGTTCAGAGGAGAAAAAGCTTGAGCTAAGGCTGGGCCCACCAGGGCATGATGAAGAGTGGGTCATCAAAGAAAGAGATGTTCTCTCTGTTGGCTACTTCTCTAACATGTCCTCCTCTATCACTTCTGGTGCAAAGAGAGGGTTCATGGACACAGTTGATCATCATCACACAAGCCAAATCACCCAAGAAATGAAGCATCACACAAAGGGTACTGGTCAATTTATTCATCAATACCCATCAACCCAACAAACCTTGCCTGTGATGGCAAAGGAATCATCACAGCCCTGTTGCCCTAAAGTGGTGGTAGACTTGCAGCAGCAGCAGCAGCAGAGGAGTAATGCAGAAAAGGAGGCATTTTCACCACCACCTTCTGCTGTTAATACAGCTGTGACCAACATCTCTCAGAAAAGGTAAAACAGCTTTTTTTTTTTTTCTCTTTCTTTCTGGCTTATTGTTTTTGTTTTGGGAACAGAGGATATGAGGATATTCAATCACAAATGCTAGATGTTGTGGTCCATACATATATAAATCTTTTTCACTTTTTTATGTTTATAATGTTATAATGGATTTCAAATATTGTTTCTTTGTTTTATGCCTTTTATATCTGTTTTTGTGAAAGACGAGTTTTTTGTATTAATTGTTGGTACTTACCTAGATTGTCATGTCTTTTTGCGACTGTTAATGTCCATCTTCTGAACAGCTGTTTGTTTGTTTTGGCTATTTAAGCTTTGATTCCTATCCTCTAGTGTTTGTCTTGATGTTTCTTCTATCTTATCTTATACTACATTAAACATCCACACATATATATGAAAATACAGATTTTTTATTTTTTATTTTTTATTTTTTATATGTAAAATAACTGTATAATCTCATCTATCATTTTTTCTATTGTCTTCCCTTTTTTTTCTTTTTCTTTTTTTTTTTTTGTGAATAGTTTTAATATATTTATTATAAAAATTCTTCGATATATAACTTGGTGTGTGGGTTTTGGACAATTTTACTTTCTGTTTTTTTTAGTACTTTGTTTTCATTGGGCAACATGTTTACTGTTTTGTTTGTGGAGTGCTTTGATTTTATCTTCCATATTCAAAGGACAATAATAATTAATAATAATGTTTCTTATACTTAAAAGAAAATGATAAATACTTGAGTAGTGTCCCTTAGTTTAAAATGAGTATTTATGAAATTTAAATTTCAAAGAAACTTGGTCAATATTTGTGAAATTAGAGAGAAAATTTTCCAATTAAATGGTGTTACTCATTTTAAGTTATGTTGTTTGGGAGCACCAAATCGGCGGTCGGATTTGGAATTGGAACAAATTGTGTTTTGTTTCTTTATTTTATGACTAATTGGGTAATTTGTCATCTAATTCTCTCCAAAAACTTGAAAAAAAAACACAATAGAACTGCTCCTGCTCCTGCTCCTGCTCCGGCTCCTGCTCCGGTTGTGGGATGGCCTCCAATTCGTTCATTTAGGAAGAATCTTGCAAGCAGCAGCTCTTCAAAACCTCACCCGGCATCACAAAATGAGGAACCAAGCAAGGTTGCGAGCGAAAAACCGGTGGAAAGTTGCCGAAAGGGTATGTTTGTGAAGATCAATATGGATGGAGTCCCTATTGGAAGAAAAGTGGATCTCAAGGCCTATGACAGCTATGAAAAACTGTCCTCTGCTGTTGATGAACTCTTCAGAGGCCTTCTTGCAGGTTACTACCATTACTTTATTCAATCATTGTACCCATATGGTATGGCTTGTTTAAACTAATACATGCATTGGCTAGAGGGAATGATTATGCGATTTCTATTTTTATAGAATTATAAAATGGCGCCATTTGATTGCTTACTCATAACCACATGGTCATTGCATGCATACAAGTAATTCTAATCCAGTAAACGTTTCTTTCATGTTGTTAATTCTACAGTTTTATCTATGAATAAAGTAGAATTGATAGTCATGTCCTATGGTAAATCTATGGACTGTGAGAAAGAAGATTTACTCTTAACTTAGTGTTCCGAACACCATCAATCAGTGAACATTGAGGACTAAGGTGGACTTCTATCACACGGTAAATATGTTCATACCAAGTAATTTAACTTTGAACGCCTTGGAAAGAAAAAGAGTCTTCTTCATTCGCATTCTAAAGGGGTTAGGGGCAGTAAAAATTATAGATAGCAGATGGAGATTTGGTTGTCCATCTCATTATGTTTGTCGTTTTTTAGCCCAAAGAGATTCCTGTGCCAATGGAATCCAGAAGAAGCAAGGGGGAGAGGAAGCCATAATTGGTTCATGTGATGGAAGTGGGGAATATACCCTTGTTTATGAGGATAATGAAGGAGACAAGTTGCTGGTTGGGGATGTGCCATGGCAGTAAGCATCTTTTACCTCATGCTATGCAGTTTACTTTATTCTAATCCCATTTTATATTCTAAAACTTTGATCATTCAACCTTTTAAAAGTAACCATGTGTTTGATTTATTTATTCTTTTCCTCGATTTTAACCTTTCAGCCATAATTAAATTCTTATATCATATGCTCTCTGTGCAGCAGATGCCATGTTTTGTAATGTGCTTTTTTATTTTTTTTATGTTACTTGCAGCATGTTTGTATCTACAGTGAAAAGGCTGCGTGTGTTGAAAAGTTCGGAACTTCCAATGCTATGCGGTAAGTTCACTTAGAAGTTGTATTTTGTTATGTTGCATAAGATCAGCTCCATCGGTCTGAACTTGCTCTAAAGATCCGAAACTGGCGAATTTGTTGCTGCAGTTGGCAGTAAACAAGAAAAGATTCAACATGGTGCTGCGAAGCAGTGAAGGAAGAGTGTAACTTCTATGAAAGATTCTTGGCTGAAGTTTGGAATAATGAAAGGAAACTTGATTTGTGTTTTCTCATTTGACTACCCTTTTTTTTTTTGGTCCTAATGATGTGTGGGAAAGCATATTTAGTTTACAATGGCAGCTAATTGTTGTATGTATTGGATGTGGACTTGTTTTCCCTCGGTTTTTCCTTGTTTTTGCTTCCTCTTGGCTTTATACTATGTAGAAAGAAGAGGAAAGATTGAATATATGATTAGGCTTATGATTTCGAAGGATATGCTATGTCATAAGGTTGCAAGAAGCTATTACTCTATGTTGTGTTTCATTGATACAATATTCGAAAATACAATAATGTCAGTCATCATGATTATCTCATCCATCCCTCACCTAAAACATAAAACAGTGGGAAGCCTCCGAAAGTTGTATGCTAGTGTATATTTTTGTTATGTCCATTTCCTTTGGCCCTGTTAACACCTCCTCCTCCTCCTCCTCCTCCTTGATTTTTTGTTTTTTTATTTTTTTTCTTCTTCAATCCACAATGTAAACATTCAAAAGTTCTTAAAAAAGAGGCCAAAAATGCTTCCGTACTGCAACAAAAACTATTAAACACACTCCAAAGCAGAAATGTTATTTCTATTTCGGGTCGTACTAAAAATACCAAACAAAAATGATTCTCAACAGGCTCTTTGTGTTTTGTTCCGAAACTAGTCCTAGGGTTAAAAATATCAAATCAAGAACAAGGTTTAAATTTTTTAAGAGATAATGTATTTATTATTAAAATGTAGTTTCTTTCCCAACCACCTAGTAAGTTTTTAAGGTGGCCATTAGTATTTAAATTTTTTTTTTCTTTAATTGATACTCAGACGCATATACCTCTAGTGAGGTTCGAACCCCTGACTTCATTTTTCTACTGAGGTTTGAACCTCTAACTTTCCTTTAAAAATTAAAAGTTTGGTACCACTAGGCCACAGACCTATTGCTATTAGTATCCAAATTTAAAACCAAAACTTTTTTTTTTTTTTTTCAATCATTGCAAAGAAAATCATACGCACCTTCAAATAGAAGCTTTTAATGAAGAAAATGTTGAATTCAAAGTACTTAAATATCTTTAAGCACTAATGGACCATCAATTTCTCCTTTGATGAAAACGTTTTTAATCACCGACTGTAACCTAATTCAACTCAACCTCAATCCATTACTAATTTTCTAACGGCAGATTCAGCTCTTCTCTAACTTCTTATATTTGTTGGGTTTTTAATTATTAGCTTCATTCTAGCAATTTGCAAATTTGCAATTGAATCCATGTTTTTTATTATCCTACAGTAGAAACAATAGATTAAGTTTTCACTGAAGACTGAAGATAAAATTTGGTCTAAAGAATTATGCTTTAAATGCTCACTTTAGACAATCCAAATAACAGTTCGGTTAGACAATTCACTGCAAATGTTCTATGTTAGTATCACTAATCTTTATTTATTTATTTCCAGAAGGTCAAACAACTGTATATAATGTGTATGGAATTTATTCATTTATAATGTTGGGATGTTGAGGCCTGGACTCCTTTAGTGATAACCCAAGGAAAAACAAGCTCATTAGAAAGTGAATAATAGACTAAAGTTAGATAAACAAAAGAGGCTCAACAGTTTAGGCCCAAGTCATTAAAATAACTGAAGCTCAAACCCAAAAACAACTTGTTTTCCTACACACACACACACAAACACACACAAAAAAAAAAAGAAAAAAAAAAAAAAACAGAGGTTTTATTTTCCAATGGTGCATGCCCACTAGTGTTTATGAGGCCTATAAATTGGATTGAATTATAATCTCATTCATATTTAGAACTGTGCAGACACTTATTAGACTTGCTTTCCAATTTTTGTGTGAGATAATATTTTGCACTTTTTACTTTTTAATTTTTTTATAAGCACTCTGATTTTAAAGTGAAATGATATTATTGTATGAACATCAAGTATTTGACATTTTTTTTTTTTACATTTATATTATTGATTAGACCTCTTCGGTAGCCACAAAAGGTGGATCATGTAGAAAAATAAATATTTTTTTTCTCTGTATCACCTCCCTATTTTTTTTTGGTTACCTGACAATATAAAGGAAGCGCTAAACATGAACACAAAAGAGGTGATTAATTGTGCCACCGCAACTTCCACACCCCCCTCTCTACATCACTGGTCCTACTATCAGGAACCCACTTGGGAAGCTCATGGGCCATTCTGTTACAAACTCGTGGGGCCCTTTACTATACACGCATGTGGGTTAATGGCTAATGTCTTTTTCTCATCATGTAGGTCCATTACATGTAGGTCCATTATTTGCATTATTGGCTAATGTCTTTTCCTCATCATGAAGGTGGGTTGGCATAATTTATGTACTCTGTAGCGGTCGCAAAATAATTGTACAAATTGAAAAGTGAATGAACTAATTTTTTTTTTTTTTTTGGTAACTTTACTAATTTAATCTTCTTAAATTAAATTTATAAACAGTAAATTATTACTACCTCCATTCCAAAAAAAAGTGTCGTGTTTTGGGAACCGTGACTGTTCAATTTGTGAGAGTCACGGTTCCTTAAAAATAACACTTTTTATGGGACGGATGGAGTACATTATTGTGGACTTAGAATGGATAAATTTAGTAATTCATTCACTATCAATACAATAATAAAAAAAATACTAAAAATCATCTTTAAAAGTTAGATTCCGAAAGGGGACACGTTATGGGACGGAGGGAGTAATATATAGATAATGTATTTTCTCATTGTAATCGTCCCTCTTTTTATTTGGGTAAATTATACTTTGACTCCTATGTTTTCCTTTATTATAGTCAAACTCCCTACGTTTGCATAATTACACTATTACCTCTTACTTTTTTTGACACATAACAAATTTCCCCTCATGTAATGGTAAAAGATGGTTAAACGGGTGTAACGACCCGAATTTCCATAACCCGACGCTGGCAAGGCCTGTCAGTCGACCGACAATGCATCTCGAGGCCTGGCAGAGAGTTGAGTTCTCAGAACCATTGTTTCGGTCGGTTAACTAACTCAGTCAGCCGACCGACCCTGCAGTTTCAATCGGCCAACATAAGGCTGTCAGCCGGCCGACGCTATCTTGCCATCAGCATTTGTGATCCTCTAGTCATGCTAGTAGTTCAGTGTGTTATGACCTTTGGGATGATGTGTATACAGTGCATTGACGTTGGAAATAACTTCTTTGCCCTTAGATGACCTCGGGTTCATGTAAGGACTCGGTTAGGGATTCTGACCCCTGGGTTCAGATCGTTACAGTATATTTTTTTAAACTCTTATTGAAGTTGAGCCCATGTAGTGATTGAATTGACCGGTAGGGAATTTAACCAATACTTTACTTTATCTTTGAGTGATAATGGGAAGAGATGCATTCTTAAACCATTTTCTATGAAGTTTTGCAATCAGGTAGTGGAGCAAACTTCATGGAATTCATTAAGATGTTTGTACGGATTCTCCTTTTCCAAGCCATAAAAGGATAGCAACATTTGGATTGTGTTGGCCTTAATTTTGAAGTGCATCAATGCGCAATCCAAAAAACGAATGCATGAGGGAGAATTATATGTAGATGGAATGTAATGCTCCCTCAAAGGCATAGGAGAAGGTGTCGGTACTACCGTTCTTAGCGGAGTAGTGTTTGTATTGTCGCCAGTCATGTTTTTAGTTAATTGTTCTCCTAACAAGTTAGGGTTCCTATTAGTTCTCCTAAGTTCTTTGAGAGTTCTTTCAATTTCTGGGTCGTATGTATTCAAAGGAAATGACCATACATGATGACCTAACATAAACCAACTTCACCACAAGTAATAAAACAAAAGAAAAATGTTAAGCACAGAAATAAAACACAAAGAACTCATAAAAGGTCCCGAAACTTCAGCTTTGTTCCCTAATCCGCACGATCATTGCACCTATATACTTGCATTTGAAAAATAAAACAAATAAAGAGAAAAATATATACAAGTCCTAAACTAAGAATCAAACTAGAATTAATCTTCAACTTAACAATATAATTGTTACACGGTCCCCGGCAACGACTCCAAAAATTTATGTGTGTTTAAATGATAAATCACTTACAATAGAACGAATCCTTGTAGGATAGGGTTATATTAAGGGTGTCGAATCTCAAGAACTATATTTGCATTGTTAACTATAAAATTATTCCTGATTTGATTCTAAAGAAAATATTGATATTGGTTTTTCTATCTCTAATTGTAATGAAACTAAAACTGAAATTAAAACTAAATTAAGTGAGAATAGGTATCAAGAGAGAAGGGACTTAGGGGATTCATTTCACTACTAGCCTCGTAACAATGGTCAATCATATTAAATCCTAAAAAATTCATTATATGTGTACTACAGATCATGTGGCTACAAGCTCACGATGATGATGTCAAGAAGATAAATATATTAGCAATCAATAAGTGTAGCTTATCTTCAGTTTGTAGGAATTTTTTACCTAACTACACTAATCTAAGGTGTAGAACAACCCATCTTTCCATAATCATGAATTATCAAATTATTTGCTAACAAAAACAATAAATACTACTGCATAATAATCATTCTCACAATCACATAAAATAAGAACGATATGAATTTAATCAAAATAAAACCAATTTCTAAAACAAGACAATGACTCATTGAGATCAAGTTTAAACATTGAAATACAATTGCAATTGGTACAACCAAAGCAATTCCCAAAGTTCTGCAATTCATACACATATATATAGAATTTCCTGAAAATAAATACAATTAAACCATATTACTTGGCTAAGGTTACATTAATTCCCTAAGAAGGAGTTTAGCTACTAATGGAAAATGTAGAAAG